AATAACTGCTGCAGCATATGGGCGCCTAGCAAACCTCAAAAAAACCCATTCCGACACTTAATAAGGAACTTCAGGCCCCTTACACAGGTACTTACTTTTCCCTACCACGTTTTCTTTTCCCCCAACAGTTTTCTTGTTTTTTTTTTTTCCCATACTCTTCCTCCTTTTTTAAAAATACCCAATTTTTTTTTTTTTTTTTGGGGGGGGGGGGAATAAAAAAAAATCTTGGGGGGGGGGAAAAAAAAAAAATCCTGGGATGGAAACCCCATTCGCCCGTTTTTGGGGAAAAGGGGAAAAAAAAACGTTAAAAAAAAGGGTTTTTTTTTCGACTTTACAAAGTTGGTGGTCTGATTTTGGGTTTCAGAAGTGTGATCACTAAAAAGTCCCTTTATGCTCGACCGTTTTTTACAACCCCGGGGTTTTCTAAATTTCCGGTCGTTGCTACCCCGGTCGTTTTTCTACACCCCCTCGTTGTTTCCCCCGGCCCCTTGCTACCCCCGGTCGTTTTCTAAACCTCGGGTCGTTTTTCTACACTCCGCCCCTTGCCAACTCCGTGTTTGCTCACCCCCCCGGGCGTTTGACACCCGGTCGTTGCTAACTCCGGGTTTTTTCTAACCCCTGCCCTTGGTACACTCCGGTCTTGCCCAAACCCCGGTCGTTTTCTCCTCCGTCGTTGCTAACCCCCCGGCCGTGTACACTCGCGTTTTCTACACTCCGGGCGTTTGCTACACTCCCGGCGTTGCCCCCACTCGGCGTTTGTACACCCGGGCGTTCTACCCCCCGGCGTTGCTCACTCCGGTGTTGCTAAAAACTGCCGTTGCTACACTCCGCCCTTTGCTACATCCGGCCCTTGCTAAACCCCGTTTGCTACACCCGGTCGTGGGGTAAAACCCGGCGTTGTACACTCCGGTCGTTGTACACCCCCCCCGTTGCTACACTCCGGCCCTTGCTACACCCCCGGGTTTTCTTTCACTCCCGGTGTTGTACACTCCGGCCCGTTGCTACATCCGGCCCTTGCTACACCGTCGTTTCTAAAACCCGCCCGTTGCTACACTCCCCCCCGTTGCTACACTCCGGGCGTTTTTTCTACACTCCCGGTGTTGCTACACCCCGTCCCGTTGCTACACCCGGCCCTTGCTACACTCCCGGCCGTTTTCTACACTCCCG